AAGTGAACTCAGCCGCTCCTCGTAAGTCTTGCCCTCAAAATAGTCTGCCAGTGCCAAACCCACTCCACCTCGCTAAGGTATCCTAAGCCTCCAGGTCCATAAAGCTAATGGCATCCAGTGACACTCGCCCATTCCATCTTCATGCCAGCACCAGCTCAGCAATGTGTACATTTTGGATGGCACTTAATAAACTGTTCTTTGTGCAGGAACAGTCACAGATGACAGGCATTTATGACAAACTTTTCCTCAGTCCTGTGTCGTGCACTTTCTGCAGATCCAAGATGCTCTTTTCTTGCTGTGTGACCTCATGTCAAATATATTTGGGGGCATTTAATGCCCTATGGTTTAATTAGTATGGCTTCTCTTTCTCCCTGGGGCTGGGCTGAGGAGAGACCTGACAGGGCAATGTGTCAGATCTGGGAAATTAATTCCCAGCCATTTCCTCCCTCATCAGTCACTGGCTGCCTGCTGCCCTGAGACCTGATAATTATACAGGCAGTTCAGAAAGATAGGACTTGCTAATGAAGGACCATGGAGTCTTTGTTCTTATTCCTGGCTGCTGAGGCTGAGTCTGCTTCTGCTAAACTCAACTGCTGTGTTAGACATTCAACCCAAGCCAGTCATCACTTTCTGCCTCTGTGGTCAACGGGGTGATAGGAAGAGAATCTGATCTCCCTGAAGTGACTCATCCCATCCTAAACAAGACATCTACAATAGGCAGGTATTTAGCCAATAATTCCAGAAGCTAATTTATCTTTGGTCTTAGTAGCACATAGCTTTATTTTTTTGCCAGCTAAAGCTAGCTCCCACTAATCTGTCCTAAATGTGGGCTGTTCTTGCCTGGGAAAATGTACATCTTTCTCACATAGATGATTCCTCCTGGCAAAGGCTCACTGTAAATATTTACCAAGAAAGGGACAGAAAGGGTAGTCCCAGATGGAAAATTGTTGTGAGACCTGTAGGTCTGGTCTCTGCTTTTTGCTGCTTGGGTGACAGAGAGGTGAGAATTGCACAGAGGTATGAGCTGAGGAAACAAATCTGAACTGCTCTAGACTCCCCCACAGCATTACCTAACTTTGTGAGGAAACTGCAAAATCTCATGCTTTGTTAATATTTATGTCATATAATCATTGTTGCTTTTATATTTTAATCAGTTATACAGTTACAAACAGCCATTTTGTAGCAGCAGGAGGCCACGAGAATGCAATGGTGTGCTGGTTGGCACATGCTGGACCCACACTCACCCTCATCATGGCAAAAGCATCAAACTTCTTAAGCCTTGAAGACATGTAGTAAAGGCATAGAAGCAGAAAAGCCCCATAATTAGGACGACATAGCATTTTACTGCATTTTTTTATTGGCACAAACACTTTCCAGAATAACAGCATGAATCAACAATCTGAGCCAATGTTTAGTAGTCACGAGTTTAAGTGGGACTGTTAAGATTAAAATGATCTACAATTTTGTTTTGTTTGAGACTAAATGGAGGTGGGCAAGAAGGTGTTGGTGAGGGGAAACAGCAAGCAATCTTGAGAAACTGTCCCAAAGAAGAAAAGGACCCTTTAGAAAAGTAGAATATTGTGGCTTTTTTTGGCCTGTACAGCTGTATCAGAGCCTTCTCAAGTATTTGTTGAGTGTGATTGTGTTTATTTCCAAAGAGTGCCAAAGGCAGACGGGCTCTGGTATGTTCAGCTGTGGGAGAAGGTGGGTTCGCTGCCCTGCAGCCCACCCCACCACAGGGCTGGAGGTGATGTGCTCCTGGCGCGGGGCAGCCTCTGCCGCCATCACAGCTCAGCTCCGACCCAGGTACCTGCCTACTCTGTCACACTTGCAATAGCCATGTCAGCATTAGCAGAGGAGGAGAGGGACCTGCTGGGATATTAGTGGTTTAACATGCCAGAAATTTGGGTCTGTTCCCCCAGAATCCCGCTTTCAGACACAGTACAACAAACGGAGTCTCCTTCCTCACAGGTCCCACCCGTGCTCTGCCCAAAATACACTTGCTTGCTTTCTTGGTGGTTTCATGTCATGACAGTGTTTTTCTTTTGCCTCATGGTGGAGTCACCATCCCTGGAGGTGTTCAAAAACCTTGTAGATGTGGCACTTCAGGACATGGTTTAGCAGGCATGGTGGTGTTGGGTTGACAGTTAGACTTGATGATCTTAGAGGTCTTTTCCAACCTTAATGATTCTATGATTCTGTGTCTGGAATCAAATACACACATTTTGCTGTGCAAACCGCCAGCCAGCCTCTCAGTTTTCAGTAAATTTCCAAGGTGTATGTACCCGACTCGGTGGCAGTGCTTGTGTTTTGCCCAGTCACCACTGTCTGTGCTGATGCTACCCCTGAGGAGCCGGGTGGAGAGAAAAGCCTCAACTCCCACCACCTCCATTGCCATCTCCACTCCCACCCCCTCATATAGCTGTTGAGGCGTTGGACCACTGCCTGGGCTGCATGAGCCCCAGCAGCCACTGCTGCCAGCTGGGTTCTCTGTCCTCGTTTGTGCCCTGCTCGTAAACAAAAAGGCAGCTAATATTAGGTGGTATCTAGGGATAGAGTGGAAGCTTGCAAATTTACTCTTTTTACAGTTAAACCTGTTGAATATTACAGTCCATCAGGTAAAAACCTAAGGCTACAGCTTTCCTAGTTAATTAAGTGGTGGCAGGGACTGCACCTGGGCAGGGAACTGTACCATTGGCATTGCTCTGGGGAGGCTGGGCAGTGTCCTCCTGACACACCCAGGAACTGGACGGGTGCTCGAGCCACAACCATCCCCAACAGTCACCCTGTTTCGAACGCCTGAAGTTTTACTGGGTGGCAGAGCTGCTCCATGGCAGCTAGCAGTAGCACTTCACAACCCCAGTATATTTAGTGTACTGGTCATGCCGGAGCCCGAGCACATCCTTGCAGCCAGGGCCGGCAGCTTAGAGCCAGCTCCAGTCTAAGAGCCGTTCCCCTGAGAGCAGGAGTGTGGCCGGGGGGAAAGCCTCAGGTAGGGAATGTGATGTCTGAAAAATGGCATTTCATCTACAGCACTGTGACGAGAAGAAAAGCTTGCTTGTTCTTCAGCTGCGTGTGCTGTTTGCCATGAACTCCACTGAAGGATGCTGCTGACCATCGCAGAGAAAAGCAACAAAGCACTGCACGCAAGTTCTGTAAAGAAAATGTTTTATTTAAAGTGTTAAATACCATCACCAGTATGAGTTTGATTTACATTAGTTGGTGTTCATTACAGGCCTAATCTGCCCTTTTTTTTTTCCCCCAACTGTAATTTCTTTTAACTTTTTAAAATGTATTATGTACAAGACAGCAGTGATCACTGGAATAGTGCTATTTACATGACTAAACCATGAGTAGAGTTGCAGACGTGTGAAAATTAAAAAAAATACATTAATTTCTTTAAAATAAATACTGCATAATGACAAGTATGTACAAACCTTCCATGCGTCATGTCCTTGATTTTAAAATTTGAAATAATTTATATAGGAGTATGCATACAAGAATTTGTGAGCACATCTCACAGTATCAGGAAAATGGTTATGTATTTTTATTTAATATCCTAGGGGATATTGTAGACTGCATGTTAGTAGTATTTATTTGCTGCTGGTAGATGGGTGTCTAAATTATTTAAATAAATGTAATTCTACCAGTCTGTCCATTAACTTCATAATAATCCATTATATAAACTCTGAAGACAAGACATAATCTTGACTTATATGATATTGCACAAAGTAAAAGGCATTTTAAGTGATACTGTTATTACTTTTGCCCTCTTCTGAGGCATGTACAATTTCTTAATGGGAAACTTCAATAGATTTTCAAATAAAATCAGGATAATTCTGTGTGGCCTTAAAGGTAAATGTAATGTATATTTCAAAAATTATTGCAAGTTTTCAATATTAAACCTTAAATAGGTATTAAAGGCATACAAAGACCCAGAAAAAAAAAAGGATATTTTGTTATTAAATGTTAGCCAGTTACATTCCCTTTAAATAATGTAAGTTAATGAGAAGCTTGAACTTGCAGCACCACCCAACGGTAGATGCTGTCTGCTACAAAAAAACAGGTTTTTGCAGATCCGTTGACTGCAGTGAGGGTTCTGCTAATGGTGTCAAATAGCTGTAGCAGTGGTACTGATATAAGCTTTCTTTAAGGCTATTTTACGAACCGAAGATTGACATTTTTTCAGACTGCTATTACCGAATTATGTCTTTTGCAACACAAATGTAGTTTATGAAAATTGAACTTTACAGCAGAACTGTACAAATTAGTAACCTTTGTTGGTTTTTTAATTTCAAAAATGTAGCAACTAATTTGGTTTAGTGCAAAGAAAAGTCTTTAAATGTATTTCCTAAAAATCAATCACGCACTTAATTTTTCCGCTTTCCAAAACCTTCAAGAAATGATAGTTCAACCTTTGAATGAAAGATGCTGGTGCTGAAAACAAATTTATTGAAGACGTCTTAAAATGGCCACATGATTCCAGTATTTTGCTGTAGAATTCAATTTAAGGTGAGAAAAAATGAAAATAAATTACCATGCACTGTACAACAAATTGCAAAAAGTTCAAATATCTTCTTTATCAAATACATGCTGAATTACATTAATGTACTCCCAAGCCATGTTGCAAAATCCTTTTCAACATGCTTGAAAAAAAGTAAGTTCTTAAACAATATTTTTCTCAAATAATTCAGAAATGCAGAACAATCTGCAACCCTGAACCAAATATGGGGCATAAGAGAGTAGTAAGTCAAAAGGTAGCCATTTTAGAATATGATGATCATCCTGGGAGGTAGAGGGGAAAAAGAGCAAAAGGAAGAAGGGAGACTGGGAGGAGAGATAGAGAAAGGACGCGGTAAAAGAAGTGTACAATTTGCACATTATGTTGAACTTTACAAGGCTTGTACCTTTTACATTTAAATAAATTTAATATATTACACTTATTTCTTGTCACATAAACAGAATTTTAAATATTTGCTAGAAATTATTTTTTATTTTTAATATACGTCTGCAAAAACACAGACCATGACTGGTTTAAAGAATGATAAACGTGGTGTGTCTTTGTATCACCCTGTTGCATTCTCTTCCCTTTAAAACCATGCACTAGTGAAATTTATTTTTAAAAATAATATAAATTGTTGAAAATGGCTGATTTATTCTTTTTTTTGTTTTTTTGCAAGTTGCAGCCCCAAGAAAATAATTTAAGTGTTCAGCTAAATCTGTGTCCATGCAAAAAAGTTTCTTTAATTTCATACAGTACAGTATATCCACAGAATTTTATTTTTCAGAGAGTCCATCACATCTGGGTTTTCACTGTATCTATAGCTGGAGGTTTGAAGCCCGCCACTTTGAGTCTTGAATCTTTTCAGTACGAAGAGTTTTCGGATCTCAAGCAACTGTTTCAAATGACAGTTGGCTTTTCCAGCATCCTTACATTCTTCTTTTCTTCCAATGTCCGCTAATCCACTGACTTGTAACATGGCTTCATGGGAAGGTAACTCCATTTCTGTGGCATAACCAAGCTTTAGGAAGGGAGGGCAGATAACTAACGAAACAGGAGCAACAAAACAGATATGCCATTGAAAAGGACTTTTGTTGCATGAAACAGATTGATTCTTCTAGTTTAGTCCATGGCTTCAGATTGGACCAAAACCGAGTGTCCCTGAACTCCAAACCTATCAGTTCTTCATGACTTCAGTCCTTCACCTGAGGGCCTTCTGTAGGGCACAATGTGTGCAACTTCCTTGAGAACACAGGATCGCGTTGCAGCCCTAGAAACAGGCTCAGAAGACACAACATTAAGCATGCAGTGTTACCAGGGTTTGCGACCTGTAATTTTTTTTTTTTGTAACGCTGGTTGCTATGACAACAGTTTCACAGCTGCTATGAGCGAGCATATGAAGGTCCTGTGGAACTTTCAAGAGATGATTGGGAAGCTCTTCTAGTGAGAGGAGCTAAAGTTGGGTCTACTAGCGAAGAAGGAGGGAAGAGTTTGAACCACCCAATCACCATGTTGGACAGGTCCAGTTCATCTAAAAGTATCTGTGCCACTCCCATAAAGGACTTGTGATCCATACGTCCATAGTCTCCCCAAACAATTATCTGTTTGAAAAGGAAACACATGAAAATAGAAAAAAATGAGCAAAAATGCCAAAAGCTTCCATGTGATTCATCAAATGTCTCTGCTTATTTAATTATAGTAAGGAATTAAATATTTGACTGCTGACGTTGTTTCGTTCTCTGTCTACTAATTGTGATGCAGTGGCAGAAATGACCTGGGCAGTAACGGAGCAGTTATTCGTGATATTAAAGAAACCCCAGTGAGAGAAGGAGTCCATACATAACAGTAGAAGCAACATAATCTTCAACTAACTTTTGCTCAGCACTCTCTATTTGCATCAACAATTATTACTGCAGCATTTATCTGCTTAACAAGTATTTGAAATAGCAGAACTTGCCAAATGAAGCATGAAAGGAAGCTTGGAACTTGTTCAGTGAAAACTGTACAAGTGACATTTTCAGATTCTGAAGAATATGGATGCAGATTACCTGTAAAACTTTGCCTTGGGGACTTTCTTCAAATGATAGAAGTTGCTGATATAGTGGTTCCAGCGTTTTTCTTGCTACTTTTGTTTTCTTTTTGGCTATGCAGACCCCATTTTCTAATAGATACACCTTTACATATGGTGCTTAGAAGGAAGAAAATAAAGAACAATAAGTAAAGAATTCATTCAGATTTTTTGCGTAACAGATGCACTGTTCTATCACCATATGATAAAATCTGCCTTTTACTGAATATGTAACTTCTATGAACAAATCTCCACATGCAATATTAATATTTGTTCACGTGCAAAGCATCCATGCATTTTCTTAACTTTTCTCCCTGGTATAATTTTTTCTTTACTTCTTTTTATATGTCTCTTTTGCCATGAAACATTTCAGATTTTGACCTGGAAAAATCAGACATTCCTATATATAGTACCCCTATACTGTACAGTATGCAAAATAGGCCTGTTAAGTAAATGAATGACTTGCACTGACTTTGGTGAGATGTGGATTAATGCTCCAAATTGTTAATAATTTAAAACCATCTACAAGGTGAAAATCAGTAAAGAAAAGGCTCTGACACAATTACAATTTCTATTTTGGCAGAGAGCTTGCTAAAAATATCATTATATTGTCCTTTTCACATAGTGTTATAGGACACCAGATTATAAAATAAGGAGTAAGTATCATAATATTGGTCTACTTTTCGAGTAGGTACTTATTCCAGTCCTCTTGATTCCCTCTTCATCCCTAAGACTCCTATCTTCAGTACATACCTTCCTTTCTACCCCATAACCAAGGATGCATTTGGTATTACTGAAATACCTTTGTGTGTTCTGGTAGCCCACACACCAGTCTGATTTTCTTTTTCCTCCTGAAGTAGGGTTGATTTTTTGTATACCATTTCAAGACATTATGCATTTCAGCGTACAATACTGTAAACTATTGATATGTGAATTTGCTAAGAGTTTACCTCAGTTGAACAGTAAAGCCTCAGAAGTTGGGGGTTTGTTCAATTTTCTTGGTAGAACTCTATTCTTGCTGCTAAGATTTTTCTTCCTTACCTGGCAGTGTCTTTGAACCTGGTTTTACAACAAGGCCACGGGCTCGGATTATTTCTACTTCCAGTTGTCCTTTCTTGTCCATCATTCCTACCTGGATATCTCCTAGACAACAAAAAGAAATCCTGGTATTATAATTCAGAAATGCCTAAATATATGAAAAGCTATGTGAATTTCTAGGATGGATACATGATGACTTGTATCGTCTGCGTTCCACCAATAAGCATGACTCAGATTTTAACATTACTAGATAATTTAATACTCATCCTCTTCACTGCTATTTATGTTAGTAAACAATTTAAAACCCCTGCAGTAATACTTTGTCTCCCATTTCCCATGCCCCATCACCTCAAATTAATTTTTTTTTTGTCTTAAGAATTTCAGATTAAAAAAAGGCAGCAAGGGAATTAGTACAAAGTAGCTCTGTAAAACTGCTTGGAATCTCTTCACCACGCCTCTAGTTTAAGACCAGGTTTGAAAAGACAACTTGTGAATAAAAATTCTGTAAGCACAATAATAACAAATACTTTGCGCCTAAATTTCCGTTTTTATTCAATACTATCCAAGTGATTCAGAAAAAGGACTGGCCTCATCAGCCACATTTTAAAGATGGAAAATTGAAGAAGAGATATAAGACTGAATTTTTCAAAGTACCTTTCCACTTTTGAGTGTCTTAATGAGGATCCACAATTATGTTCAGTGTTAGCTGAGGTTATAGTTTTGGTCTTAACCGAGTTGTTCGAAACCACATGGGAAATCCATATTTAAAGACTTAGAATCTAGATAATTGCTATGTTCTAATTACCAGACCCAGTAGATTATACCATGTCTATAGGACATAAATGCTTACCCATTGATGGTGTTGCCAAAGTCTGTCGTCCTACAAGCTGGGCAGGACCAAGTCCATCCAGAAAATCACTGAACTGGCTGTCTGCAGCCAACCTCACACCAGGGAAAATCAAACTGAAAAATAATATTAAAAAAAAAACCCACAAATAAATACACATGAATTTGCCCTTTTTTGTTTTCTAGATATTTTGTATTTAGCGTTTATGTTTTTGGTACTACTGCTCACAGGGAACTTATTTACATTTACAAGATTACAAAACAATTACTGTAATTTGCCCAGCGATAGAACAAGGGGCAATGGGCACATTGGAAGCAGAGGAACTTCCGTCTGAACATGAGGAAGAATTTCTTCCCTCTGAGGGTGACGGAGCACTGGAACAGGCTGCCCAGAGGGGTTGTGGAGTCTCCTTCTCTGGAGATATTCAAAACCCGCCTGGACAAGGTCCTGTGCAGCCTGCTGTAGGTGACCCTGCTTCGGCAGCAGGGTTGGACTAGATGACCCACAGAGGTCCCTTCCAAGCCCTACCATTCTGTGTGATTCTGTAATTTTCAAAACTCCAGTGTTCAACAAGCAGCAGTTCGACCTCCAGCATATAAACAAACAGGTGAATGAAGAATTAATCCTCACTAAGTCTAATTTCCACAGTAATATTTTTCTGTCATGCTCTTTTCCCAATATATTAAAGACCGCTGTTAGTTACTGTAGCATTCACATGAGACCAGTTCAGTAAGATAACTAACATATGCCCTTACCAGTAATTTAGTTACATGAAGGTAAAATTGCTCAAGTTTCTCAGTCAATGTGATCTCAATGGCTGAATGTCAAATGTATCCAGTGAAATTATTACATTAGACTGAATACTGGTTACCATTTTTTAAATCATCTTTTAAAATCAGCATTCATTATAAACATTTTATTAAAAGTGCCTTTGAGAATGACATCTGTTCAATAATGGAACTGAAATCCATTGTGGCAAATGACCAAAGTAACTTGAAATTCAAATTCCTGCCATAAATTATCTGTGACCCATTACAAGGCAACAAGAACTAATGAGATTTGTAATGACCAACCATAAATAAATGTCCATCTCAAGTGCATATAGTGCATCAACTTGGACATGCAAGATACACTGTCCAGTATAGGTGTATCATCCAGTGCTGTGAATACCGCTAATAAATCTATCCACAGTGGGATTTTTCTGGTCAGTATCTTAGACATACCACTCAGAAGTCTTTAACTTGTGCTTTTGTGAAAAGCATGATACATGACAGTCTCACGCTTCTGCTCAGCTCATTTCTTCAGGATTAATTAGCCGAATGTTTGAAAAACTCTTGAGCCCAGTGAATGACACCGGGAAATGCTTTGCTCTGCAAAGCACAGATGGATGCGAGGAGTTTTCAGATGAGAAACTGTCCTCTTCTGTGTTTTACCCATTGCACTGCACCTGCTTCCCCTCCTGCTACACCGCACACTGATGGCTCTTACCCACCAGGTCCCTTTCTCACGGCACTGTAGAAATGATCCTCATCCTTCCTGCACCAACAATGGGAGAGTTTCAGTCACGGGGGAACACAGGCTTGGTCCATCAATGCAACTAGCTTGTGAAGGGAATTCTGACTAACAGGACCTACAGCGCTCACCCCACTTTTGTCTAACTACCAGCTTCATGGAGAAATGTCAGGTAACCACAGTAATAACCGCTGCTTACTTTCCCTCAGAGCTGTAGCTGTTCATGCTCCCATCCGTCGACTCCCGGCTGGCCTGACGGGTCATCCAGTTCCTCATCTCCACGGCCAGCCCTGTCTCAGTGCTCCTCTGGACGGTGCTCCGCAGCTTCTTGCCCCCTGCTTCTGTGGAGACAGCAGAGAAGCCCCCATGGCACCACGCTGTCGCAGCCGGGCGGCCCTGCGGGGCACCGCTGCGGGCGGCACACCTCCACCCCATGCGGCAGAAACCCTCGAAGACAGAAATTAATGACCTGTACCAAATATTACATTTCAAGATTACCGGTTTGTTAATAATAGGCAAGCAGCATTGTAAATCTCTGTTAGAGGACCTTAGTTCTGTCACTGTCTGCTTTCCAAGGCAGACAGCAAACGCGAAACACAAGTCTGCCCGCGGAGGTAATCAGATTTATGTTGTCCATAGTCTAGTGTGTTTAAAATATGCTTTCTCTGGATGAATACATTCCTCTTAGGAACTCAATTAAAATGTTACCATTATGTCAAAACCTGCAGTGTCTGAGGAATGTTCTAATTCAGATGAATTATTTGATTTAAAAACATTTGGTCATTATCTGCTAAATCAAGTTACAGATATCCATTAGTGAGGACAGTAAACAACAAATCAGGAACCCTTCCCATTCTTTCTTCTCTATTCACTGTCCTCTCATTCCACCAGCTGCTTTAACTTTGTATCTAAAAAATACAGTATTGACTTTTATGCACAATATGAAACTTTATTACCACCTCCAAGAGTAACAATTTTTGTATCTGCTTGCATAGCTTGATTTTATTTGTAAAAACAGTAACGTGACAAATAGCTGGGTACCAGACAAGGGAAAAAATACTCAAAACTCAATAAAGTAGCATTTTAGTGTAGGAATTTTGATCAAGACCTCAGCTGGAAGTATATTGAAAGAAAAGAAAGGAATCAGTAGGAATCAAGCCTCAGTTTCTCTTTCATGAGTAAGACAGTCACTCCATGCCATTTCTGATTTTAAATGCTGTTCTGAATTTTGTATTCCAGTTTCTTCATCTTTTCAATACCCTCCTGACTTCAGCACAGTGATATACTGATAATATTATAAAAGAGCAATAACTCTAAATGTACACGACACCAAATGATGTCAGAATTCTTAAATATTGATACAATGAGGGCAGAGTACATCCAAGATACTAGGGTATCTAGGGATTCACCCTCCTTTGCAGTCACTTCTAGCCTCTGCTACCCTCCTCTGGCTCATCATGTACCAGAGGACAGAAGCTGGAACCGTGGGGTCAGTGAAGCTCTAGGGATTTGCGAAAGCAAACCAGCAAGGGAGGAAATTATCCTGGGATAAGCACTCTCACACCCTGAGGAAGACATGTGAGCACAGGGGCTGGCTTAGAGTAAGAGGACCTGTACCGTCAGACAGGGAACAGGAGAGGGACATTGAAATCAATGTCCCACACCATGTCTCTCTGTCCTACAGGCTGCAGTGTGGGCTGAAGTCTCCCAGGAACACACCCGAGGCCCTCCAGCCAGGAGGCATACCAGGGCAGATTAAGAACATGGGAATTTTAGTGAAGTGGGAAATAGACACCCAAAACCTTGCAATAGTGGGAGACACCCAAAACACCTTGCAAACCCGCTGGCCCCTTGTCCAGAAAGATTTAATAACACTGCAATAGTTAGCAGTAGCGAGACATTTTTATAACAGTATCCTGAGTGGTTCAAATCATGTTGTTACAAGCCTTCCACGCGTTCCTTAAGACCACAAATTTTAATCGGTACATAAAGAATAGCAGAGGTAACAATTTTGCTCTAGAACTGCAGCTACCCACATGAATTTAGTACTCAGACTGAAACATTTTTTTCACTATGTCAAAACTACTTCTGAAAATGCCCATCAATATCTGGTGCAATAAATACAAATAAAAAAGTTATAATGCTAACATGCCACATGAAAAATGAAGAGCAGCAGTCAACAATTTCATTTCTATTGGGCTATACTGTTCCACGTGTCTGCTGGTTTTATTATTTATATTAAACTAAGGAAAGCTGGCAGCTGACTTCCAACATTGGTATACAGCAGTTATAAAATGCAATCACTCATATCAAAGAAATACTCCCACAAAACTGCCTGGACAAAATTGTGCTATATTTTTGTAGATAAAGGTACACTGTGTCATAGTTACATGTGAAAGGCTCACAACTCCTGAAGCCCCATGCTCTCTTTTCATTAAAGTATTGTTACAGGATATTACTCTTCCATTGTAAGAACTCTCTTGATTAGTAAGCATTCATTTTTGTTCAGCCTTGTGGAATGGTGGTCATTCTCGGTTCATTGTTGCAAACATGGATTCTGTCATGAAAATTTAACAGAGTATCTCCATCTTGCATGATTCTTCACTCTTTCCAAAACCTATGTTTCAAAGATTTTGGGGTTTGGGATAACTAAAAGTTTGAATTTGTGACATGTGAAGGAGTATACAGTAACATTTATTAATCAGTTAGGCAGATTTTTTTCTGAATTAGAGCTGTAAGTCTGTATGCCTTCATTCTAGCAGAACATTCACAGAAAAAAAATCAAACACATCTATTGCACATTGATTTACTAAGAAATCAAGGCAGAGCTGGTGCAATTGCCATTCTAGTCTGCGTAGAGGCACATGTGTTTCACCAGCTGTTCCCAATATCCCTCTGAATCTTATTTTTAAGCAGTTTTACTTTCCCGCATTCATTTTAACTGAAATAAGTGCTCTGGTTCACATGAAGACAGGCCAACAGCTGAGAAGATACAACTTTGATACAGCATGAAAGTTAGGCATGCACACTATATCCAACTTTTGCACAAGTGTGGGTGGTAAACTGATTACTTTGACCCTAACATTGAATTTAAAGAGGGGTGAAAGGAGGCTATGTGAATAGCTATTCTCCAGTTTTCAACAGAAACAGGCAGAGCTCTCTGATGGTCCCGAAAGAGAAAGGTCTGACTTTTCAGCAATAAGGCTCCTAATCATGATGTTGATGCTTCTTGAAATAAGAATTGAAGATTTAACAGCAAAATGGCTATTTAGAAGTAAAGAAGAAGCCCCAGTTCACAGACATGACTCCTGAGCCTCTGCTCTAGCGATCAATATTCTTTCAGGTTAAGTTTGGCTAAACTAAGATGTAACAACATGCATAAGAAATACCTACACATGATTGCCCACCATCATAGCAATACATTGGTCCCTGGAAAAATATAACAAATAAAATATAATCCCACAGTCCCTTAAACAATTTAAAAGCAAAGAAAGTAGTTATATAATCCATAACTTGTGTTTCATAAATTCAACATTAAAATACTTAGAAGGTTGCAAGTAGCAATGAAAATGCAATGTAGTTACTCAAAGAAATAGCATTCGGTGCCTTACTTCCAAGCTGCAGCTACGAGAAGATCTGGTTGAAGGTCTTACCACTCCAGTAAATTCAAACTGTTTTCCCTCATTCTGCCTGGAAGTTAAAGCCTTGCCTGTTGTGTTAATTCAAATACTTGTGTGGCTGCATTCTGTACTGGACCCAGTCCAAAAGGGACAAACCAACAATGTGTTTTAAAGTTGTTCTCCTTTTGAGACAGACCATTTCCCAAAAACATTTGTGAAAACACCCAGATGAATGAGCCCAACTGAGGTGATGCTAATCTCTAGCTAAATTAATAACTTGGGAATGCATCTGCCACTAACACAGAAGTAAAGATGTAACTGGTGCCGCTGTAAAAGTGCAGGTTGGTTTTATAATCATAAAGTATTTATACACACAAACTCACCTCATGCACATCATTTTTAATCCTACAAAGTGAAAGGATGCAGAAACAAGAGAGTCTGGTAGTGTACTTTGTTGCCAAGTATGTTGCTGACCACCTACACTGAAAATTCTTCTACTCACAACTTACTGAACTCTAATAAAGAACATTGAAAATGTTCTCCAAATTAGTCTAATCTAATTGCCCTAGAAAGAAGAAATTTCTCTCAAGTTCTCATCACAAAACATGGAATATATTATCTGAAAAACACTAGCTCAGATTCTTGGGGCCATACTGTAAGGAGTGGAATAAATTACCAGAAATAATTGCTTTGGCATTTATGAAAGCACACTCATTCTTACAGTTAATCACACTAGTAATTTAACTAATATGGTTACTGCAAATAGACTCCAGAGGCCACCTTTTGTAAATTATACACGGAATTATTTGTTCCCACAAATTGGAGTGCAAATCACTTGCAAATTAGGGGTGCAAAACTACTGATATGCTATTCAGTATCAGATGAGGAGAAGTCGGAAAGTGCCGTAAATGCAACAGATTACCTTTGGTGCTCTGGGATCTAGCCAGATGACATCTGCCTCCGGTGGGGAGAAGGCTCGCTCTCAGCAAGAGCTTCCAACAACTGCTCACCACCACGCACAGAGCCCTGGAGAGGACATCCCTGGCGCGGGCAGAGGCAGGCTGGCTATGCCAGTCCCCAGGTGGTACGTGATCTCTTGGCCGGACTTGTACTGAGTACTGAGCAGCTGTGGCTTCAAAAACACACTCAAGGGCTTGAGGTGCCGCTTGGTCTGCTCTCCTCATCTCACCAAAAAGGCTTCATAAAGGCTGCTTCAGTATTTTCATTTGAACTCAGGACTTAGCTGCCCGTAAGGGATCATTTTTCAAGAGTAAAGTTCTTTAAGTATCTAGACATCTGCTCTAGGCACGTTAAGAACAGGCTAGATAAATTTGTCAGAGACAGTCTAAGAACATCTGATCCTACCTAAGAGAAGAGGGACAGCGTAGGTCTCAAATTCCCTTGCAGCCGCACGGTTCTGTGTCTGGAAGAGGCCAGGTTTTGGCTGTGTTGAACGAGGCATTTAGCTCTTGTTGAAGCACTGACGGGAACCACAGCTGAGTTGGCTTTTTCCTTGTGTCACCCACAGACCCCAAGCAGCAGACACGGATTCGGATCTACTAATTTAAGCAGGATTCAGGAAAACCAGATGCCACTGTCATCTCAGTCTGAGAAGTTCTGAGCCCACCTCACCAAGTCTCAGAGGACAGTGCTAATCACCAGCTTAGGAAGCATTGTGTTACAGTCCTTGTTATGAAGTTTTTTCACAGTTCCTGTCGTCA